TTTCTCTATCTTACCGATTTAATTTCGAAACATATTTTTTCTTATATATCATTTCTCGATTCTTATCATAATGGTGATACAATAAAAACATGTGTTACAGGGAATGTTTGATAAACCAAATACTACCGGATTTATATATGTTTCACATTATCTGTTGATAATATATGATGCGGAGCGTTTTAAAAAAGTAGTTGAATGGCCAGTAATTTGCAAAAAAACCGAAACCAAGTATCGTAATAGTGTAAAAGATTATCTGAATGTCATTGCATTGGAGAATCCTGATATAGGATTTCCACGTGTGGTTACTACTTATTTACATCATGCAAGTGGTACTAAGTTTATAACTATAATGTGGAAACTGTCTCAGCTTGCATTAAAAATGTATATTATGCGTAACGGTAGGTATCTAAGAAGCAAAATATTTTAGCAATATAATCTAACAGTTTGCCAATAGATTTATACAGATTACATTGACTATAATTTTTAACTTTGTTAGCAGATTGCACATTAACTGTATTTGCATTTAACTTTATAAACAGATTGCATTTATTGTTTGCATTTAACTTTTTCTGTTATTAGAGCTCATTGACATAGACTGTGTTTTAAAATTACTCATGTGTATTATAGATTTTTAGTACTAGCAGTAAATTTTAAAACAGCCATAATCTGATAAATTCAGTAGAAATTAAGTAGAATCTGTTATTTAATAATGATATATTTTATTTAAATAACTTTAAATTCTACTTGGTGATTGTAGTTAATCTATCATCATATTTTTTTAACATTTTTTATATTTTTGCTAATATGTTCTACTGGTAATATCTATAACAGGTAATATCTATTTTGCAAAATCTATTTTCTCTATATTTGTTATTGTTGTAGAATTATGTCTTAATAATTTTTAGAAATATATTGATTTCATTTAAATTTTTTTATATTTTTGTATAAAAATACAGAATTAAATATTCTGATTATAATAGATTTAGTTTGATTTAGTTTTCCTTTCAGGTGAACACGAAGTTATATTTGCACCAAAATCAAGTATTGCAAATGACTCGGTTAAAACATACCTACAGCAGTCCAAAGCAAATATTAATTGCGATATATTGAGTCGTCATAGAAATTACGTACAAATGGAAAAAGCTGCAAATTTTGCATTGACGTAATATTTTTTAATTAAATTTCTCTTAATATAATCTACTAGAAATGGATGACATAAAAATCTCAATATTTTTTGTATTTTTGCTCATGTATATTTGCAATATATCATGAGCAGAAATATTGATACACCGAAATATCAGCTGGATAATTTACGATATTGCTAATATTGACATGGATTCAATATTTCTATTTTTAATAGAAGCGTTCAAAATTATATTATACACATCTGGACATGCCTTTATTGTTATTTTTCTTGTTATATTAAAAATATTAGCACTGTATCGCCCCTATCTCTATAGTCTATTAATATTAATATTATAAAGAGTTTATTTTATTTTTCCTTTAGACAAGAGAAAGAATATTTGACTAAAATTAAAGCAGAACTGTTCGACAAGAAACAATCTTTGGCAAAATGTGCTTCTTCAGCTCCTGTTACTGAATCTATAAAGCAATGTTTAACAAATGTCGAAGATACAGATATTGTATCAAGTTAGAATCATATTAATTTTTTTAATTAATTTTTTGTTGAAAATCTTGTACATGTGAAATTAATGAATATACATGGGTTTTAGTGTGGAAAAATAGTTTAAACAAAAATATACAATATATACGAAAACGGTACATGATGTTGAGTGATCTGGAAAGAACATGTGAGAAAACAAGTGGCATAATATCGAATCTATTGAACGATTCAAAAGCACTAGATAGCAAGCAGCTGGAAAAAATTAATTGTTCTCTGATATCGGAATTGTCGTTTCCACCTGATGTTGAGGTAAAGTTGAATATTAAATAAGTGATTGCAATTTCTTTTTAATCTTATATTAATAAACTATATTAATAAGCCACGACTTATTTTAAAAATAATATCTATATATATATGTGCACTATTTGATATTCTGCCAATTTGTTTCCTTTTTTAGCATTGTCTTTATCATTTGTATAATGATAACAGATTAATATATCACAATTTCGTTCGTCTGCTTACTTTGATACTATATCAAATATATCAATGTCTGAGGAAGGATGACTTAGTCGACCTGTCTCAGTGTCTCTTGCAAGTGGAAGCAAGTACAGAAGACATGAAATCCATGTGCAATGTATTTAAAACTTTCTTGGCCAATATAATAAGTTCTACAGAGGAGATGCAAAATGATTTGTGTGTGAAAAGTATAGAGCGCATATCTGAGGATAAAAATGTTTTACCCTTTGTAAAAAACGTACTTCTTATGTCCTCGCCTCTTATCAAAATTAATACTAATTGCGCGAATCAAAGAAACGAATTGCAATTTACTCCGACTGAAAGTAAGATCGATATTTAAGAAACAACTATAGATTGTAATTTTTGTGTCAAATAATTATTAGCGTAATCATATTGTTCGTTTTTTACAGTTGCACATAAATCATTATTTTCGAGATACATACGGCACAATAAAAATTATACACCAGATGTAAAAATGAATTTATATGTATCGCGCATCAACATTGACAGTCACACTATGTTAAATAGTAATGAAAAACAAGAATTACGTTTTGTGACACCTAAGGTGAATCAGTTATGTAAGAGAACAGGAAAATATTCCCGATTATTTGCTACACACAAAAAGCAAAATATAAAAGGTTTGTAAAAATTCTATTTGATTTGTATAAGTAATATTATGAAATTTTATGTAATTTCTATTAAAAAAAAAAGACGAGACAATCAAGAAGTTACTAAAATTATTAGGTGTTGGAATTAATTCGTAGCGTTTTACAAGTGATGGGAAGTACTTTCATTAATGTATTTTTTAATGCTCATGTGAAATAAATAACATTCTTTCATTAAAAAACGCTACGAATTAATTCCAACACCTAATAGATAATGATTATTTTACAATGAAAGAAATGAAATTAATTAAATATCACTAGAAGAAACCGCCATTGTTAGTTCTTTTTTATTTATATTTATTTTTCACAATCTGAAACATGTATTTTTATATTACAATAATAAGAATGATACTATTTCTGTAAAGTAGTATTTATAATTCAATTTTATTATATATAAAATAATAATCTTTTCAATAATTTCTTGATTGTCATATGATATGTTTTGTTTATGGTATACATATAGAAAATTAAAATTATATTTATATAGTCAATTCTAGCATGATGTCTCTGCAATCTACTACACAATCCAATTCATCGGATTTTAATTTAGATACCATAACAAAGGGTTTTATCAATTGGAGTGAAGAGTCTTCCAAAGTTTCTTACTCATCTATACAATTCACTCCGATAAAACGAAATGTCTCAAAAGTTGCGTCTCAGCAACAAGTGAAAAATAAACTCGATCACAAGGTTAAAGTAAATAAACCTGAATTGGATGAATTTACAGAAGTACAGATTGTAAACGACGACGATAAAAGTACAATTATAAAACATGAAAATGATTCAAAGAGACGGTCCATTAGTGACTTGGTGGAACGTTATAAGAAGATACTGGAAGTCAGCAATTCTGTTACAACAAAGTTAGAAAATACATATGTAGAACATGAAATTGAATAACAAAAGGGTAAAGGAACAAAACTCAAATTCAATTAGTATTTTCTATTTGTATTTTTCATTTGTAAATTTTTTTGAAACGAAAAATTATCAATTTCCATTATTAAAATAAATAATAGAAAATACTAATCGAATTTGTTTGATTTATTAGTTATTCATTAAAATCTATGAATAACAAATATAAAATTTAACTTCTAATATACAATATTTTGTATGAATAATTCAGTATATTTATATGAAAATGTATGATATGTTTTGTTTCTGTTAAAGATAGCTTGTACACAGTTTAAGAATAAGTTGTCAATAAGAAACAATGTATTAACACAAATTCGTTTTCTTAAAGATTTATGACAGATTCCGAAAAACTTAGGTAAAGAAATTAAAGATTTCAATATGTTTCTGCGCTATAGTAGTATAATATCCTCAAAAAGAAAAGAGTAGACATGAGTTGATACTAATATTTTCTATTTTGTGGAACTTACTATATATTTTTTATAACATATGTATTTATATATTATATAGTTATAGAGATAAAGTCATGAATTATATTATATTATCATGTTACACAAACTAACGTATACTGTTACGAAGTAATTTTTTATAAAATTTTTAAAAATGATCTGTTTGTACAAATGATATATTTTCGCCTTCTTTATCTGATTTTTCGTATCATTGCAATTTAGATAAGGAGTGACATTTTTATCTTATATATAAATTTAAAAACTTCCCTTATTATTTATACATTAATTGGACATCTTTCCCTCGAGATTCTCAGTATTAATTCTAATAAACTAGTTTTATCTTTCAATTATTACACTAACATTCAAAAGATAACATGTGGTGTTTACTATTTCATCAAATAACACTCTTAAATTTATAATAATACAACAGTTTATTCACAGATATTACGTTTAGAGTGCTACGTACTGTATTATAACGTATTGCAATAATAGATAGAAAGAAATGTATACAATTAAAAATTAGTCTTTGCATTCTAAATGTTGCATTAAATGTTATATGTTCTTTACTTACAATTAGATATCTGATCAATAATGTAAAAAGGCACGATGGCGGCATATATTCTTATTATACATACATTGATGAAAAATGTTTCAAAAAAATTTTTGATCTAATAATTAGTGGTTATATATAATAAATTTATATATTGAATGTTATGTAATTGTATTATTCAATTACAAGTCTTTGTTAATTTCTAACTGTGCATTTATAATACTTTAGAAAAAATATTGGTACTTTTGTTCTTTCAATCAACTATATATTTTTATCATTTTTTTATTTTGCATTAGGGTGGTTCTTTAGTAGTAAAGCCGAAAATTTAGGGTGCCTTACCAGGGTTCATTCAAAATTACAAATATTTGCATAAGTTTTAATATTTGAGTAAAATATTAAAACTGTGTATATCTTAACGAAATAGTATGGAACATACGATAGTATAATAAATTAAGAGCTACATCTTCATCGAACGAAAACAAGACGAGATTAAGTTTACTTTTCGAGATTAAATTGATATGCAAATTTATGCACATACGTAAATATCTTTCCAGAATGGTCATATTATTTTTACTTATAGAATTGACCTAATACTTTTTTGTGACTATTAAAATCGTAATTTTTAAAACTATTATATCTCATTTTTAAGAAAAGTATGGTAATTATGTGCAATTAGTCAAAAAAGCGAGCCTTATCAGTCACTAAGTTATATGTGAAAGGTTACATTTTCAACATTTTTTTTCTTTTTTATTTTCTCGTTAACATACCGCAGATTTTACCCATGTCAATTTCGATATCTCAACTTCATTTTTAAAAATCAGATATTTCTACGATAACTCAATTTACTAAAGAACCGCCTTAATAAAATGTAATACTTTTTTATTGTTAAAAATTGCAGAATGCAAATTAGATATATGTAAAACAATATGTGCTTCATAAATTTTTGGCAGAATTTCGCATTTGTCTCCGTTTCAATCTTCCTAATGAATCGTTAAGAAATATTTCTTGAATGATTTTCTTGAATGACATTCTATAAACTTTTTTATTATAATGTAGTTCGATATTGATTTTTAAAAATATTTCTGTAGAATTTTTGCTTCTCTTTCGTATTTCATCCGTACTTCATCCATATGATAGTTATTTTCATCGGCCAAGCGTGGAATAAAATTTAGGCTGCAAAAAAAAAAAGGAAAATTATTACATTTAAATATATTGATTTTATAGTTATAAATTAGGGATTGAATGCTAGCAATTGTGCCAGTATATTGTAAATGTACCTTTATTTTGACAATATCAGTATACAATTGTTAATAAAATTATTTCGGTATTTATCTTTGAATTATAAATCACATATATAAGAAATATCACATTTTAGTAATAGCAAACGAATATATGTATGTACATATATACATATATATATATATATATATATATATATATATATATGTAAATTGTACGGATGTTTTGGTCTTCATTCAAAACAAAAAGAAATCTAATTACCTCATCATGGTTTTCTTCCTTATTTCCATCATCATCGTCTCCAGAACTATCCCCTCCTGAACTGTCAGCGGAATTACGCGGATCTTTGTTATTTAAGCTATCCACAGCAGTCGTTGGTATAGCCTTGATTTTACTAGCGGCATCGTAACATTGTAAACAGACCCTGACAGCTTTCCCGTTTCCTTGCCCAGGCAATAATAATTTTTTGTTACTGCATGGACCACAAACTACTGCTCCACATTGTCTACAATGATGCTGAAATGAAGAACGATTGTTTAAGTTTTTTCAACAATTTCCATTCAGATAATAAATATATGATTTTATCATTACCCGTCTGTTTAATACTGTGAATTGTGTTTTATTGCAGTGCATACAAATTGTAGCTTCATTATCTGGTACCCAAACCGCTGCATGGACTTCGACAGGCTTTTTGCCACCTAAAAAAAAAAATAAAGAAAAATAAAAAAGATAAAGTTAAAAAGAATCAGTCGTATTTGCAAAATTTAAAAATTTATCGTCTTAAAAAAAATAACAATTTGACTTTTGCTTACTTTTTCTTAACAAATCTTCAATACATTTTGTGATATGTGCCATCCATTCTTGTTTTTCTGTTGGAGTAGCAGCATAAACAGCAAACGACTTTGTTACTGTTTTAATGAGCCATCCATTACGATATTCTATAAATAATGATCCAATACTATACTACCGTTTTCTAGATATGCATATATGATCTCTTTGATTACTGATCCATACGTCATATGACATAATTGAAAAATTATAATAAATGCGGCATTTCTCTCAAAAACAGAACCTGATAAAATATATTTCAAAATTTTTATTTATTTTTTGTAAGAGATCTTGTATGTAAAAGTTTTCTGTGATTTTTAACAAAAATTATCAAAAGCATTGGAATAAGTTTCTCTATAGATGCTTTCGAAATCTTTCTCAAAATCTTTCTATACCTCTATTTTGTAATTTTTTAAGGATAGTGTTGGTATTGTTGCACAGCTTTTTTATTATACCTATGCAATATAACAACCAACACTGTTAAGAGTTACAGGATAGGGAGAGGGAATATAAAAGATATTTTTAAAATATTTCATACAGCCTTAACCACAAGTATAAAGCACTTCACAAATTGATATAAGTGTTCTATACCTAATAAAAAATAAAAAATAATGAAAAATTTTATTTTTATAACAAGGTTTGTTCTTTTTGACTTTTGCACCACTTCATCTTTCTTCCTCTTTTCTCTGGAGGAAAGAAGAAGAAAGATGAAACTAGTGCAAAAGTTCAGCCAAAAAGAATAGGCCTACAATTTCAATATTTTGTTAATTCTTTAGTTTTTATTATCTTTTTCAAGAAAATACAATATAAATTGAAGATGCTTTATATTTATGGCCAAGGCTGTGTAACATAAATAGAGTAAACAAAAATTGTAATATGCATACAAGTATTAGTTACAAATAATATAATGTACTTACGACCCTCGTCAGCCAGAGACTCTAATTTTACCTCCTCCAGTGGTATAATATGTTGCTTGTTATACTATAAACAAATTATTATCATTATATAATCACTATTATTACTGTTATTTTATGTATCAATGGTTGTGTTCAATCATACAGAAAAAGCAGTTTTGCAACTGTTGTAAAATTCAACAGTTGCTTTTTCTGCTAAAAGCAGTCAATGTTAGATATAGAATTCATTTTGTACATCATAGGTTTTATCCATAAAAGACAAACATTTTTCTGTGTACATACTTTTTTCTTATTAATCACGATATTCCCATAGACCAATATATCATTGAACAGGAAGAACTGTCTAGGCTTGGGCTTTTTTCTGCACATTTTTGTCAGGACTCCTTCACCCACCAGGACTCGGCCAGGTACTGCAAGCGGCTGTAAGATGGATATTTTATAAGTGAGTCATCGCTACAGCTAGTTACAAATATTCAAGAAATTTATAAATTTTACTCGATCAATGAATCTCTCTTACCTGACCCGAACCGCCGAAGCAGTTTTCGACCATCGCGATGCGCCTAGCATTGGCCTCGCTGTTTACTAAAACAAATCAAGCCCCAAGAATGGGGGAGGGGAGATATTAACGAGAATGTCATTCCAGTGTCACGCTCACACCCACGTTTCGAACGAAAACGTCCGAGGCACGTCAGGCCCATTCTTTCTAGCTGCACTTTTCACACCTCGTATAAATTTCATCTCTTTCATCTCTTCATCGAGAGATGTCACGTCTTAAATATGGAAAGCGTAACAAGAGCAAGAGGGGAGAAGGGAAGCGACTAAACAGAGCGGAATTACTCCGAACTGTTCGGAGCTGTCAAAAACACACGGCCCACCAACACGAAGCCGACTGTGAGACCGTTATCCTCGCACGCATAATCGCACAAGGAGATCAAGACGGCTGCGCATCACTCGCGTCTGTCCGTTCGCGATCGCGGGACGCGTGAGCCTCCCCGAGTTGCCTGGGATGCCTAGCGGCCTCGTCTTTTCGTAAGATACGCGATACTAATTACATGCTAATAAACGAAGCACGAACTAACCCAATCGGTCGACCATGATCCCATGAATCAGGGTTGACAACAGCAAGATGCGTGAATCACATCCAGTACGTAAACCCGTGCGTGTTGATGCGTGTCTGGCGATAGAATGCGTATCTGGAGAAACTGCTGATTACACCATTTATCCGCGATTTGGCGCGCTTATCGCTGATTAGCTGGCGCCCACTGGCGTCCAATTGGGTAAATTTAATCAGTATGCGGATAGGTCGCTACGACCTATCGACATATCGCTGGCACTTCGAGTGATTGTCGAGATCATTGGTCTGTTCGACTTGCTTACACTTTTTATACTTAAAATGAGATAGATATATATTTGGCACTGAAAAGCGAGAGAGCGAAGATGCTGAATGTAAAAAGTGTAAGCAAGTCGAACAGACTTCATTAAACGTCACATGATTACAAACCCTTATCGCGGTGACCGAACCCATATCGTCAGATTGTCACGAGTGTTATTCGACGGACGATCAGCCAAGGGTATTAGCAAATACTGATACCTAGATCATCTCGTTCATATTCCCGGTTAATTATCAAGAGTTCGTGTAAAACAACGACGAAGTCGCTTGATTAAATTTGATCACTCCGTACGAACGATCTCGTCGAGCAGGATGAAGGTCTGTGGGCCCAAGTACGCCTTGTGCGGTTTAGTGTTGTCTGTTTGGGGCATATTCCAGTTGGTGAGAGAAAAAGATCATGCTTTTATAAATATATTTACTTAGAAATAAAACGTCTTGATATCGGAGTTAACTTCCTAGAAAAATTCATTGAAAGCAGCTTTTGCAGCGTTTGTTACGTTACAAATCTTGTCGTTAAAGTGCCAGCGCAAATATAACAGAATCTGCTGACTTGATGGCAGATTGATTATAGAAACCGAATGATTTCGATTTTAAATATAATTTTTTTTAGCTGAGTCTGTACTTCTATCTTTTCTCTTTTTTTTTCTTTAAAGTGAAAAGTAAGAGAATCAAAATAAATCCTGTAAAAAATTCAGCTAAAAGGAACAAGTCTATAGACAGATTTTAGTTTTCATTAGCAATCTTCTATTGAATTATGGCTGCGTTTCATTATTCACTATGACTGCTAAAAATTTATCTATAGTTTGCATAAGTATTGGAATTTTATAATTAATGTAATATAGAATATGTAACTATAGATTTTCAGTATTTGCAAAATACAACTTGTACAGCTTCATTAGCTACATTTAGTAAAAAAAGAATCTTTGCAACTATTGTAAGATTTTTTTAACATGATTAGTTCTTGCTCTTAATTCCTTGCTGAATCTAAATGTATAACTAATCATATAAAAAAAAATCTTACAATAGTTGCAAAGCTGCTTTTTCTATAGAACAGTTATTGACAAAATGTAAACTTAATACTGATGCAGTTAACGTCAATCTGTTATAATATTAAGATGGTATTCATAGTTTGTTCTTTTAAGATTGTCTTAAAGAATGTCTTAAGATGTTAATACTTTCTAATTGGTCACAACCTCTTAAGACTGAACATAAAACGGTCTGAAATATAAGATCCGTTTATGAATCGAATCTAGTAAGCTACATGCTATATATCATGTTAACATCTTGTTATTGGATTTTTTTGTCCTTAGCTTTTCATGGGAGTATTTTTCTACGTCCGGAGCGTAGCATTGGTAGAGGATCTGCCATTGGAAGAACTGAAGGAAAACCTCACCTCAACAGGTGAATTCTACAAAGTGGTGGACCGAGGATATACGCAGAATGCATACAACTGCTGGATTGCTGCATGCATCTATGTCCTCACTTTCCTTTTCTCTGGTCATCAGTTCTATCTTAATTCTAGATCGTCCCTTAGCGTATAAATACACGGATGTTATGCAATGATGTTACTGTGCATCTGATTTGTAATAATGTACATCTAGAAAACATCTTGATTTTAAATTATTTTAAGGCTGCATTATACAGTTATTCTACGATCAAGTTGTTATCTAAACACAATATAATATAGACAAAATGCCTGTGTTCCAAGTGTTTTTATAAATGCAGAAAATGTATTTTTTTGCCACATATGTGTATATTTATATTTCCATGTATTAATGTGTAATATATATATATATATATAAATGTATATATATATATATAAATGAAGCTGAAAAAAGCAGAATGAGGTTGGAAGATTGTGTAATTTTTGTAGAAGTCTTACTATAATGCCAGAATTTGTTTTATTCATTGGTAGTAATATATTTTAATAAGTTCTGCTTATATATTGTTACATATATATTGTTAATATGATAAAATAAATTAATCGTAGATACCATGATAGCTGTTTTTTCGACTAGGTAAGAATTGATTACTCTGCAACATATTTTTTAATTTCTTTGACCGCGATCCACACTCGCAATCTTCGTGAGATTATATTTTTGTTTAATATTTTATAAATGACAAAAATGGAATGACTCAAAATGAGCGTTATAAACATGTTACGTACATGAATTGGACCACGTACGTGATTTAACATTTATGGTTGTTCAAAAATTTATAATTTGCTTGCGTTGCTTTTGTGCGAATTAGGCCTATTCTTATTGTTGAATGTTTTACATGGTTCATCTCTCTTCCTTTTTTTCTCCACAAAGAAAAACAGAAAAAAGAGATGCAAGTTCATTTGAAAAGAATAATAGGCCTATTATTTCAACCAATTGGCCTCACTTTGCAAGATGAAGTTTTATGTGAAGTTTCAGCTTTTATCTTAACAAATTTGAAAAAGGAGCATAGCACTGTATCTCACAAAACGAAATAAAAATTTATAAATCGCAAGAAGAATGCAGGTGAAACAGTCCTTTAATTATCGCTCTTCTATAGCGGCAAAAGGCGTACATATTGAAAGAATGAATCACATTAATCACATGACTGCTCGTATCTGTCAACGTAATATCATTAGTAGCCTACATAGCCTAATAGAGTAGATGGCATAACATAACCTTTTGGGGAAATTTGATAGGTTAGGACTGATGCCTTCTTTATCTCAAACATCTTTGACTTTGATAAACAGGCTGATTTTCGTTAGTGTATCGTCAAAAAAGGAAAACGTGACGTGACAGCTCGTCGTATAGCAACGTTCTTTTGATTCTTCATCTCAATGTTCCATTTTTAGGATTTACAAGTGTATGATACATTTGACTCATCGATGACACCACGACTACATTCTTTAATTAACAAGTCATTAGGGGTCTGATGTTAGAGACTTTTCCCTTTCATCTGCGAAATACCTTCTGAGAAGAGGAAGGACGCAAGTCACACTTAAAGCCAACTGTTTATGTTTGATAACAATCTGTCAGGATGGAACCTGGGACGAGCAGCTCGACGGATGATTATGTGGAAATAATACGGAAATTGCCTCTTTATTTGAGATTAGCCTATGGCACAGGTCATGTATTAAATGACATCTGCGCTTCCATGTGGTTTACTTATTTACTGGTCTTCTTTCACCTGGTGCTTGGATTTGATCCGACCTTGGCTGGCGTTGTACTTCTCATCGGCCAAATAGCAGATGCCTTGGTCACTCCGTTTGTTGGTTTTCAATCTGACATAAATGACAACTTTTGGTTGTGCAGATATGGCAGAAGAAAAACCTGGCATTTGTTAGGTATTATTTTTAAACTTGCTATCTAAAATTTTTATCTTGTTTAGTCTTGTTATTATTTTATGTAACTAATATTAAACTGTTGGTAGTAAGCTAGCAATTTGCCAGTAAGAGCAAGTAGGTTATTAGCATTAACTGCATCTACATTAAATTAGTGTTCTTTATTAATAGAGTCTGCTGACTGATAGTAGGAATTGAACAGAATCTGTCGTTTTATAATCATTTATATAATATCCATTTCAATGATTAAAAAACGTAATAAATTTTATTTCGTTTCTACTGCTAATTCATTGTCAATTTATATCTTTATTAGCACAATACTTTAATATAGATGTAATTGATGCCAATATGTCACAGTAGTCTATAGTAAATTTGCCATTGCATTTTGTTGGCAAATTCCGTTATAGTTTTGCTTATATTTCGACAAAATCTATAGTAAACATTTTGTAAAACATTTTATTTTCGATAGATTTATTTAGTTATCTAGATATGCTTTTGTTTCGGAACACTGTAATAATTATTTACTTTGCAGGCACTATTTGTGTACTATTGGGATTTCCTTTCATATTCTCGCAATGTCTAGGCTGTGAAAATGCACATCAATACGCACAGCTAGTTTATTATGCTGCTTTTGTAGTGATTTTTCAATTTGGTTGGGCAGCGATACTGAACACGAGAGAACTGAACTTATAGCTGTAAGGTAATAGTAGAAGAATCATTCAGAAAAAAATAACGTTTATTTAATGAAGATAATATGTGTAACAAAATTCTATCACAATAGGTTCACGTTTACTGTCTTCTCTAATGTTCTTGTTTACTGTATTATGTGGGGTGTACTACATGTAACGAGTGATGAATATGATGTTCAGATCGGACCTAGTGATATTCACAAATTTCAAAAAGTTGTTTTAATTGGATTAGTAACTGGATTAGTTACATCCATTATATTTCATGTTGTTGTTAAAGAAAGTGCTAATGGCACTGCTAATGGTAACAATTTTTAAATATTAATATTATACGTACATACATGTACATAGATATATAATATGTAAAAGTAAATAATTGATATCTTTTTAGGTAGCTTTATGCATAGGAACGCTAGAACAGCATCAGTATTATTGAGAGATGTTAGAATGTATCAAGTAGCGAGCGTCTATATGCTTACACGCCTATTCATTAATTTATGCCAAATTTATATACCTCTGTACTTACATGAATCATTGAATATGCCTGCGACATCTTTGGCTTATATACCATTGACAATGTATCTAAGTAGTTTTTTAATGTCTTTAATCATAGAGAGGCTCAATACAAAATGGGGTCGAAAAGTCGCGTATTCTATCGGTGCTTTACTTGCGATATGTGCCTGTATTTGGATACAATTTGGTAATGGTGATATATATGTTAAATATCAAATCTATGTTGTAGCAGTACTACTAGGTAATTTATGTAGAATTTTTAATTAGATAAAAAAAAATAATGCAAAGTTTTATAAATTTAAAAAACTAAGAACGCCTAACTAATTTAATTTATAATGTTATAGGTTCTGCTGGTGCAATAATGTTAGTGACTAGTCTTGGTGTTACTTCCGATCTAATAGGAAAAAATACTGAGAGCGGTGCCTTCGCCTACGGAATTATGAGTTTTACAGATAAGCTTAGTAACGGTCTGGTGGTTATGTTGATTCAGTATTTAGTAAAGTTAGTAAGAATATTTAACACACATAAAAATTTGAATTAAATTTTTTATTATTTAAAAAGTCATAAATTGAAAGAAGTATTGCTTTAACTATATTTTCAGACATTGTTCATCTGATTATGTTAGTTATTACTACAGAGACATTCTTACATATGCCTGTGGAGTATCCGCGATATTTGCTTTACTGATGATTTTATACATCAAACCATTCTCACGTACTACGGGTATGTTTAGAATGCATTTGTTTGTATTTTAGTGATAATAATCGTAAATCAATATTTAATCATGTGAATGTAAAAATTATTTTAGTTTTTGATACGTTACGCAACGATGATGATGAAGGTTTTATAGAAACTCCAAATGCAGTTGATGGAAATTCTTCTTCAAATCAATCTCAAGCCAATATACATTGATGATATAAGTAGTACTTAATTTAGTTTGTAAATTACTTAGCTCTAAAAAAAAATGGAATGTAAAGACATTGATAATATTAAAAGAGGAAGAATAATACTTGCTATTGTAGGCTGCAAAGCACAGCGCTGTTTATGTTACACTATTCTTGTTTCACGTCCAATCAATGGACGATGACGATAGAATAACACAAATAGCGCTGATAACGTTTCTTCGAACATTATGTGATATATAGTAAGCAAACTACTATCTTTTTTACTTGAAACTGTTAATATTATAATTTTATATATTTTAATAATATTGAATTTTATTTTATGTTCTATTAACGCGAATTTCTTATATTGTAAGATTATTGTAAACGATATTTGAATTAAATATATTAAAAATTTTTAATACAGTTATTATATCTCAAAATCTTACATCTCAAAATCATATGGAATATATAAACATTTGTTATGTTTTTTTAATTTAAATAAGATTAAATCTAAATACGTATATTATGACTGTGTTTGGTTTTGGCACTTATGCGCTGCATGTAAGTTCCATTCTATCTTTTTTTTACAAGTAAAAGTAATAAACATAAAAAAGTAATAAATATAGAACGCATGAACGTTGAAATCGAATGCAAGCTATACTTTAAAGATAAGTGCGCTCATTTAGTTGTGTTCGTGTATTATACTTTGTCACGCAAAGAGAAAAAGAGAGAGAAGCTTGTAATGTCATGATTTAATCTAAAGCTACGTTATTATGGAATCAATTACTTTATTTTTGAATTAGTTTAGATTTACTTTTCTCTTGTCTTATATATATTTTTAAATATTTTGTTTCTTCTATTTATTCTTCATGTTCCCAATCATAATTATTATCCCAGTATTCAAAATAAATTAGAATTTTGAATTCGGTAATTCTCAAGAAATTGAAATAGATAGAAATAGATTCGTGTAGTCATTACCGAATCCAAAAGTCTGCTTTTTCTGTATTTTTCGTACTAGGATGTATTGTTTCTTAATATCATAATTTAATTATAGAGTTCAAAAATTAAATATCTAAATTAAAATATTAAATATAATAATATAAGAGAACATTTTTCTTCATTCTATAATGGTACAAAATTTATTAAATCTCGAATCTTTACAGAGTTTATTAAAGTTACTTCAAGATATAAAATTGATCGTTTATATCATATGCAGTCGACGCTCCTTACTTGCAGATTTATTATTCACAGATTTGACCAAGTTAGCGCTAAATTTATTTCTGAAATATTTATATATTCCTGAAGTCCCACAGTAATAATTCAAAAATATTTCGATATATTTCGAAATATTTATAGAATGTAAAAGCAATATTTAAATGATCGTAAAATATTTTATGTATGTATAATACATGTCATTACATATTCGAAGAATATTCCACATATTTATATTATATTATGAGCATTTTGATTACATTGTATTATAAGCATTTCTATAATCGTATTACGAATAAAAGAATAAGTCTGATAATTTAAAATTTTCATAGTAAAAGAGCAGTAGGTTCATTTATTTGAATCTTTTTTGCTTGTTCTAGAAATACGTTTCTCATTTTTTATGCGTGTATTGATCTCTTTAATGGTCTGCGCTCTTACGAAAAATAATCACTGCAGACCAGATATTATAATCCGTGTAGTTACTGTAATCCCGTATAAATTACTATACACGACGGATTACATGCGTGTAGTTATTGTACAATACAATATAAATATTAGAGTCGGCAAACTTTTGTAGTAGAAGGATTACACGCTAATAAAAGCACTACAGAGTAGATTATACGCTTGTAATTATTGTATCACAAAAATGGTGAACACATAGATGCTTGTAATATATATATGTAGTTATTGTAATATTTATATTATTATTATAATATTACAAATTATATGTGTATATAATACCTAGCTAATGATTCTTTTCCATAAAGGTATATTAATTTTTTGAATTTGATTTAAATTTTTAGGAATATCTTTTAAACTGCAGTTTATACTTTTAAGTTTAAATTATATATTTTTGAAAATCAACTTTTTCGATTTTCTAGAGTAGATCTGCTTTACAACTATATAACTCTTAGTTGTCCTTCATAGCATGTGATAAATATTTATAATTCGTACAATTTTTAAAATTGCATACAATTTTTTACATAATTTTTCTTTAATTCTAATAAAGTACTCGAACAGAAATAACAAATTGTAAATTAAAAAGTAAAAATATTAAATAAAAAAAAAGAACAAAGAAAAAATTAACCAGAAGTATAATTTTATCTATCCAATCTATCCAATCTATATTACAGCTTCAATCTATATTACAGTATTATGAACTTTTCAATTTTAATTTTATTTCACAATTTTAAATTGATTAAAGAAAGAGAACTAAAAAAACAATAACCGGCTTCCGTTTAATACGAATTCCTATTCTTATAAATTATTACTATCTTCAATTAATGAAAATTGTTCTGTTCTAAATTGTACTTACCCGATAAAAAATTTGTCATGTATAAATACGAATATGTATAAATATGTATAAACATACATAAACACGTATAAATATTCATAAACATGTATAATTATATTAGGTGTTGGAATTAATTCGTAGCGTTTTTAATGAAAGAATGTTATTTATTTCACATGAGCATTAAAAAATACATTAATGAAAGTACTTCCCATCACTTGTAAAACGCTACGAATTAATTCCAACACCTAATATATGAAATATGTCCATATTCATACATGCTTTTTCTTTTATAAAATTACTTTCTAGTATAATAGAAATAATAATAGTAATGTTTTCACATTACTATTATTATTTCTATTATACTAAAAAGTAATTTATTAAAAATAATTAAAAAGATAATTTTCGCACTATTTATTTTCAAAAAATCAAGTTTGAAGAAATGTAAAAAAATTATTTATGTTTAAAATTATATATAAAATTATGCATAATTATGTATGAGCAATTTTTTTTACATTTTTCCAAACTTATTTTATTTTAAAACAAACAATGCAAAAATTATTCCTTCAATTTTTATGTTTTCACATTACTATTATTATTAGGTGTTGGAATTAATTCGTAGCGTTTTACAAGTGATGGGAAGTACTTTCATTAATGTATTTTTTAATGCTCATGTGAAATAAATAACATTCTTTCATTAAAAACGCTACGAATTAATTCCAACACCTAATATTTCTATTACATTAAAAAGTAATTTTATAAAAGATAGAGAAGGATGTATGAACATGTATATAGACATATTTCATATATACTTATACATGTTTCTACATATTTATGAACATTTATGCGTGTTTATATACACATTTATGCGTGTTTTTATATACATTTATACATATTCATACATGAAAAATTTTTTATCGGGTAATAAAAACACATATAGGATGTGTTCAGGATTAAGATGTCATTAGTCATTATTTGTGGTGTCTATCCTTGTTTTAGCACGTCTGATGAACGATGAAGATAAAATGACATAAATAACGTTAATAGCGTCTCCCCGAACGCACTCATAATATTCTAAATATTTTATTAACTTTTGAACATTCTATATATATTCTACTATTCTAATATACGGAAAATTTGGAATCAAATTGAAATTTTATGATATATTTAGCTTTGTTTCCATAAACATTGTCATCGTCATTGCGCATTTGTTGATCATTCTGTTTCCATAGGAATTCTAGCGGAGGATATCAGGAAACGATATGAAAAATATCAGGAAACGATAGCGTCAGCATTTGTCTACCCTCGTCTGATCATTACTGAAGGTATGCTTTATCATCAAGGTATGCCCCAGGTTAATAAGTCACGGAACGCGTACATGTCGGTGATGGTACGACGACGGTACGGTGCTACTTGTCCCCGCCAAGGGGTCTATAAAGGTAGGATGGTACCATCGCACGCGATCCACCACCAGGCTCCTCCAGTTACAATGTTGGAGTGCCGTTCGATTTTCTTCGTCGACTTCTCCCGACTGGGAGAAACGTATCATCGATTGGCCGACCGGCGTGCGTTCTTGAGAGGGTGAAACGAAGAGTTGCTTGATAAAGGGTAGAACGCGCTCAGAATGCTAACGACGAACAGCTCCTATGGTTGCCGCGAATGTCACCCCTTTGTACCTGGCAGTGTGACGAGTATTGTGACCAACGGTAACCCGAGTACGACACGTCCAAAATTCTCTCCAAGAATCACCACTAAATTGAAAACATCACCTGGTATAAGTAGTTACACGGATCCGGCTTGCGTCGCGCGTATGAAGCGCTTGAAGAATAGGTAAAGTTGGAATATATTTATTAATTTGTCTATTTATTAGGAGAAAGATTGTCCTATATACGTGTCTGGTGATGTAATAGTGATAAATGTTATTGTACTAAATATTATTAGCACGGAAGTAAAAGTTATGAAGTATAATATAAAAAAATTCTTTAATTTTTGGAACTTAATTTCCAAAGTTAATTATGTCCATTAATATATATTATATATATGTGCGCGCGCGCGTGTGTACAACACACACACACACACACACACACACACACACACAATACTTACATTTTGGACATTTATTATTCGGTTGGCTATATACTTACAAGGAGAGATTACATTCTGCTCTTCACCGATTTTGATCAAACTTGCAGCGATGTTAGAGGAGCCTACCAAATGAATACCTATAAAGCTTTTCTACTAATGGGTCTTAGAAACCGATTAATGAGTATTTAAAAATATACTAAAAATCTAGAAACAGTCTAATATCTTGGAAAATATGCATTTTTTAGAAGAATGTCTTAGACAAAAATGATAGGGTTTAATAAGGTGTATTTACTGGTTTTATTGGTTTGACTTTGAGTGGCATTGCCAAAGTCAAATCAAGGTTGACGATGCCTCCCAAAGTCAAATCAGTATTACTATAAGTTTGATCAAAATCGGTAAAGAGCAGAGCGTAGCTTCTTCTTGTTAGATGATCAAGGATACAGTCAACGCGATGCTACAAATGCTTTAAAGCAATTTTTGATTGGTCAATTTGTAAAATTCTTTTTTCTAATTGATCAACCAAACGCTTCAAAGCATTTGTAGTAAGACTTTGACCGCAGCCCAAATCTGTCGAAAATAAATTTTGCGAAAGTTTGCAACAAATTTAGACAACTGATGTTAACAAACGATGATAGAAATATAATAGAATCTGTTAAGAGAATAATTGCTAAATGTGCTATTTTATATTTATTTAAAATTTAAATGATGTATTTTATTTAAATTTACGAAATCATAAATTCTGTTAGTTTTTACTG